ATGTTATTTTATTATAGAACATGTTTTTTCTACTTTTTTTTCCGATTCCATAAAATATTTTTCTAAATATATTAATTAATTAAATATGTGAAATATAAAAAATACTTTTCACCGTACCAAATTCCATTAAGCTTTCTTATTTCACTTAAATTGTTTGTTAATTGTAAAATTCAAAGAAGAGAAAATTAGACATTAGTCTAAATTTGAAAAGTATACTATAAATATATAAACATAACACGTTAATGTAAGATTTGAAGACTTCTTATTTTAGATTAAATGGAAGTTATAAAGAATTTTGTTTAACATTTTATTAAACCTTTTGAATTTTCTCGTGTTCAATATATGCTTTCATCGTTTTAATTTTTGTGATATTTTTTAAATTTTGAGATTTAAATAAGTTTATTTTTTATTGTGAATTTTTTATAAATATTTTAAATTATCAATTATTGTGTTTTATAGTACTTTTACGTTGTTTGTAGATATATAAATTTCATTTCAAAAAAAATGAAGATTTCATACGCACAATTCTGATCAAATTTAAATTGTTTGACTTTATAAAACAATTTAATTATCTCACATAAATTAAAACAAATTGCAATGTATATTGTCCCTATTAAATAAAAAGGTCCAAATCAAAGAAATTGTAACGTGTGACAATTTCTATCGCTAAACAATAAAAATTCATCAATCTAATATAACAATGAGTTATTAAAAAATTAGTGATGGTCTATATTGTCTATGCAACAAAGACAACAACATATTCACTATTTATTTATTTTTCAAATTTGAAATTCAAATTCATAAAATGGACATGAATCCAGAATATGCTCCAATTATTGTAACACTAGAAAGTGTTTATTAATTTTTTTTAATAAAAACATTATCTGATTGATTTTGAATTTAAAATTTTGAATTTCAAGAAATAAATACAAAAGGGACATGACTTTATAATCTATTCACTTCTTTTCAGAGTTACAAAGTCAAATTTAGTAGTTACACAATTAATTAAAATTGTTTCATTTTTGAAAACTCAAATTCAGGTGGTGGTAGGGCCAAATTAGAGAATCACTCACTATGAACCAATTACGTGGTGGCGGAATGATTGTGATTTTTATACTTTTAATTAATAAAAATTTTGAATTCGAGCAACTCAAGAATGAAAAAAATATTGAGAGTATCGTAATTAGAAATAGTCATGCATTCAGACCAGTCAAGCTCTAATTCGAATATTAAAGACAAAGAAAAAAACATGTGAACAAATGAGTATTAATGCAATGAATCGCAATGAAATATTTGATTGACATAGAAATGTTTGTTTGTTTGTTTGTACAATTAACAACTATTTAATCAACTAACTCTTGAGAAATAATAAATAAATCCTTGTTGTTCATCAAAGTCAAAAATTTTAAATGGTGACAAATTATTATTACTGTTTTAAGGTTGATTTTATCAAATGTTTTTACTCAAATTATTTGCATTAAATTTCTTGTATTCCAGATTATGGGAGTGAAAATGACTTGTTGATTTAATTACCATCAATTTAGGCAAATTTAATTAGTTTGAAATTGGAAGTGTCAATGTGATGCTTGTGATCTTTCACTTCATCTTATCTAAATAATAAACGGTGGTCAGTACTGCAGTATATATCTGTTGAAGAAGAAGAAAACTGACGATAGGAACAGGTTTAATGCAGTTGACTGACTTGTCTACATAGGTAGTCTAATCTTAGTATTCTTCAGTGGTGTTGTAACTCGCCAGTCAGCTTCGTTGGACCTGTTTCTTCGACATGTTCCAATCCTCAGCTTCCTTCTTCATCAATATTTGTTGTAGACAAGTCAGTCAACTGCGTTGGTCTTATTCCTTTGACATGTTCCAATTATGAGTTTCCTTCTTCTTCAACGGTATCTTTCATTTTTAATCAAGAATCTCATATTTCAAAATTTTAAAATAAAGTGTCTCATGTAAAAGACGTTTTACTCCTAAAAAGTGAGATTTCCCAACACAACTAATTCAGAACTCGACTAATTAAATTCAGATTCACTTAAAAAAAATTATTCTAAGGATAAAACACTTCCTATAGAGATCAACTTTATTCTCAAAACTCAAATTCATTCTCTATCAAAATTAATTTTATTTTCAAAACTCGAACTCGAGACCGAATATTCACCACCCCATTAGAATCTTTTGGAGAAAATGTAGCATGTGGCCAACCATATATCCTGTCTTATTAACACCTTTTTTTGCAAAAGTTTGTAAGATGATTTTAAAATGGAGTTTTCAATTGCCCCTCCAAGAAAAGGAAAACTTTGTACTTTTTATAAAAAAAAAATATATTATAATATATGGTTTTATAAATCAACATATATAATCACAAGAGTTTTGGCAGTTACATAAATAATAAATTCATGTCTTTGAAATATATTAAAGAAAAGCACATCAACTTTGCTATCATTTAATTTTCAGAAAATGTATATCTAGTAGTACAATTTGAGGCTAAAAAAAATTAAAATTTGAAATTTTTAAAGTAGGGTTTGGATGTATATTTTACTCGAAAAGTATTGATTTTTAATTAATTATATTGAAATATTTAAACTTCGAGACCTTTTTTTGTGAATGGCAGCCAAGTATTTGGACTTCTTTGGCACCAAATTTCATACATATAACAATTTCTAACATTTTTAGAACCATATTATATATAATAAATATAGATTTTCATGTACAAAGAAATCACAAATATTTCAAAAAATGCTCCAGACAATTTTTCATAATTATTTAATATATGGGAGTCATTAATCAAGAGCTTTCTGTTATCAATATCAATGTATACAAAGTTTATACATAGTTCATACATACCATTACAATACACATCTTATATATATACACATTCCAAAACATCAAATAGGAGGACCAAATTTGGAGGAAAAGCTTGAAAATAATAACAAATCACCGTTCGGGAAGAAGGTCTGAAATATATTCGAACTTTGATCGAAATTATTATTATGATACCAAATTTTGGAAAAGATTTTTTACCCTCTTGTACTATTTAATAGTGTATTTTAAAGGTATATATGTGCTCACGTAAACATAAAAATATTGCATAATTATAAACAGTAATGTGTTCACGTGAGCACATATATGCCTTTAAAATATACTATTAAATAATTCAGAGATAAAGTTCTCCAAATTGTTCATGCATGTGACTTTTTTTTTTATACTGACACATTTTTATTAGTTAAATGTCAATAACATACTTAAATTATTGATAGTGCGAAAAATATTTAACTTCTAAAAACACGTTTGCTGACTGAAAAAAAATGTGTTTTGATTTTTCTAAAGTGAAGTCATTTGTTTCAATTTATATTTTCAGTTGAGATTGTTAAATATGTTAATTATGTGTTATCACTTTTTGTCATGGTGAAATTGTTTTAATTTCCACGTAACAATCTATGTGGAAACTTTTTTTATTAGTAAAAATTTAGGTGTATTTTTCGTGCTCAGTGGCGGAGCCACCTTATCATTAGAAGGTTCTTAGAGATTTGTTTTTCAAATTTATTAGTAAAAATTTAGGTGTGTTTCTCATATTCAGTGGCGGAGCCACCTTATCATTAGAAGGTTTATCGAATTTTTTTCGGCGGAAAATTAAATTAATTTTACATGGTAAAATAATTTTTTAGGTATATAAAGTAGATGTCGAACTCCATTCGACTACTTCGTGTGTTCATATTTTTAGATTTTCAACTCCCTTACTGAAGATTATAGCCCACTACTGCTCATACTCCAAATAGTTTAGGTTTGAAACTGAAAAATTTAAGTGTGTTTTTTGGCATTTCATTATAAAAAGGAAAAGATTCAAATATATAATTGAACTTTGAAAAAAAAAAAGTTATGTCATGTGTTAAAAAGTTTGGTTCATCTATGTAATTTCCGTTTGAGAAAAGACTCATCCATGCCATTATTTGTTAATGATAATAATTTTGATTTTGCAAAACCATTTTTTACACGTGATCAATTATGATTCGGCCATGCCATTAATTAAATTATTTTTAAAGGAATAAGGATCAAATATGTCATCAAATTTTGAGAAAAGACTCATTTATGCCATTAGTTAAAAGTTTGGTTCTTCTATATCATTTTTGTTAACAAATATTGACATGTATGAGCCTTTTCTTAAACGAAAATGGCATACATGAGCCATTATTTAAACGGATAATATAAATATGATTTTTCTCGAAGTTCAATGACATATTTGAATTTTTCCTCCTTTAAAAAAGGCATAATACATACATTGAACCCTAACTTGGCTTCAAATATTAACTTTGACCTCCAACTTTCGTAATGCACAAACAGACACTTTAACTATCCAAGTTTTAAATAAATAAACGCATGAGTCCTACATGACACAATACACGTAGGACACCACATAGGACAAAAAATGACATGTAGGACATGTGTGTATATTTCTTCAACTTTATACAAGTTTGAGTGTCTATCTGTGTGCATCCAAAATTGAAGAGCATAAATATGATTTGAAACTAAGTTAAAAGACGTATTTATGTATTATGCCTTTTAGAAAAATGTCTGAAGTTTGGCGTTGTTAAAGCCACAACTTTAGTAAAAAAACAAGTCTCAAATTTGGCATTGTCAAGGCCACAAACTTAGGTTTTTTTTTCTAATTATGGGTATTGACAAGGCCATAACTTCGATAAAAATATCTGAAGTCGATCTTAACAAGTCATTATATATCTTAAGCCAAAAAAATATATATTTGAAGTTTCCAAAACACAAAAGTCTAACTTACAATAGCATAACATTTACAAAATTTACATGCCCTAACTAAAGAACATTGATTAAGTTATTACAAGTTATTCTTTGTTTTCTCTAATTAATTAGTTTATGACTAATTAATACATCCCATTGGAAACAAATTTCTGCAAAAATTGTATCCAAAATAAAAGTTGACAGCTGATCAAATCCAAGATTGCTTGATGCAATATTTGATTCACATCACACCAATAATATATATATATATATATATATATATATAATGAATTCCACCTCTTCTTCTTTCACCACCTAATACTGTCACACAATATATTTTAATGAGTTTAATTATATACATTAATAGTATAAAGTAATTTTTACATTATGAAAACACCTAAAAAGTAACTATAACTATTCATAGAAAAGTTGTGATTAGTAACATGACAATAAGTCAGATTATCTGCTATAACATGCGAGGGCAAATATAATTTCGGTATATTGAGTTTATTTGAATTCAATATTTTTGATATAGAGTATAAATTTATACATAAGAATATATTAAAAATTATGAAAAAAGAGTCTGAAAAATACTTTAATTTTGGTAGAAATTGTTGTTACGATACCAAACTTTATGGAGGACCTTTTACCCTCTGCACTATTTAATTGTGTATTTTAAAGGTATATATGTACACACGTGGACACATTACTATTTTAAAAAATGTAATATTTATGATGTTCACGTAAACACATATATATCTTTAAAATACACTATTGAATAGTACAAGGGATAAAAGGTCATTTCCAAGTTTGTTATCGTAACAAAAATTTCTATCAAAATTAAAATATTTTTCAGACTTTTTTTTCTAAAATTATAATAAATAATATATATGAACTCCATAAATTTTAAGATATGTTGGGTTGAATATTATGTATTAGGTAGGGCCCTCGGCCTTTTTTATTAGGCATAATACATATATTGGATCATAAACTTGATTTCAAATTTTAACTTTGACCTCCAACTTTCACAATGCACAAACAGACACTTTAATTATCCAACTTTTAAATAAATAAACACATGAGTCCTACATGGCAAAATACACTTAGGACACCACATAGGACAAAAAAATGACATGTAGGACATGTGTGTTTATTTGTTCAACTTTATACAAGTTTAAGAGTCTACTTATGCACATCCAAAGTTGAAGGGCACAAATGTGATTCGAAGCCAAATTAAAGGGCATAATTATGTATTATGCCTATTTATTAATTCAATCCATTTTGATCGTCCAAAGAATTTGGTTGGCTTTAGCTAAATATGTAACCCTAAATGACCTATGGAGAAATCTTTTTAGCTAAATATGTAACTATAATGGTACATTTATGCGTTATGCCCAAAAAGAATGACATGTTTTTATATTTAGTGGTAATAATTTTAACTTTTAAAATGACTATTTTATCCTTCGTAAGGCCTTTTAAACCTCACAAGTATCTGTACTTTATTTTAGAGCACAAGTTCCAAGAAAAACTTCTCTTTTTAAATTTCGTGTCTAGACAAATAGATAGTTATTTTTTTTTAAAAAAAACATAGGGATAAGGCACAAGGACCCCCAGACCATGATCGGAAATCGAGCAACACTCCCCTCCCCCGAATCCATTCTTTTGTAATTTTGTACGCCTTATTGACTTACTTGGCATCCAAATATCTCCCACACGCCTCAACTACGTGGAGTCACATAGTGTCCCATGTAAGCCAAAAGAGCAATAGAACCTTAGTTTAGTTAAGATAAGTCTCTGAAATTTCGATCATATTAATCTAGGTATACTTATGCCTTATTCCAAAAACACAAGAAGGGTTGTTAGAAGAGTACCTTGTTATATGTAGAGGAAGAACTTATAGGAGCATATTGTAGAGCTTTATAGGAACTCTTTAACTTAGTGCATTTGACCATCTGTACAATAGAGAGGTGTGCACATATCATAGGGACCATTAGTAGTTGGTACATGACAATTTGAGGTGAAAATTGTGGCATTGTTGTCATGATGTGTTGAAGATGTAACCATATTTGGATGATACATTATATTATTGAGTCCAACATCTTCATGACTAATTGTATCCTCTTCAATAGTACCACAAGAATTTGCTTTACTTGCCTCACCAAATTCATCATTTCTTGCAAATCTTCCCTTCACTCTTGGCCTACTATCTGCTAGTGTTTTTCTGCATGCATACTGCGATTTTTTGAAATAGGGTTAATTTCACGTATAATCACTGAATTTCATAAAGTTATTCTTTTTGTCGCAATTAAAATTTCATAATGCTAAATTGAGGTCAATATATATAGAGGATTGTCCTTTTGTTGTATTGTCTCGAAGAGACAAAAACACTTATATGAATAATGCTAATTCTCATGTTGTTTCTAGATTCATTTCGTCGAGAGTCTTCCTCTCTCCGCCCCTTACTCATTTTTTGAAAAACACCGTCCTAAATTTTCTTTTTGTATATCAAGGAAAGTACCTCGCTCTCATCTTTTTGCATTTTTTAAAATTATTATTATAGAATTTTCTCGAATCTCTATAAAAACAAAATAAAAACCTCCGGTGAAAGAACAAATAATAGGAGAGAGGAAAAGTATGGGAAAAAAAGGAAAGAAGTCTAGTGCTAGAAGTGCATCGCCACACAGAATGTCTTCGTTAAAAATTTATATTGTAAACATAAAAAAAAAATTATACCACATATCAAATATTGAATTTCTGTCTTCGCCATTGCTACAAAAAATTTTAGGAGGAGGATGAGATGGAATAAAAGTTAAAATAGTAGGAAGATGTAGACCTTAATTTTTTTGCTGAAATTTCTCTCATTTCTTTTCTTCATGTATCTATGAATTTTCTCCCTCCTTTCTTCAACTGAACACCTACCAGATTTGAAGTTAGGATCTTCAAAACTTGTGATTTCTGTGGCCAAAGTGTTAGAACAACCACCACCACTAACCAAATGTTGACTCTCATTGCTCAATGCCTACATAAACATATCAAAAAGAAAATCGCTTTACATATCAGTATCAGAGTCAGGATGTTCATTCAGATAATTCAAAATATATAAAAAAACAAAGAGGTTCAACATATAGTATTCATTAAGATAAATTTGACCTTTTTATACAGTGTAATTTTCCTGCAAAGGAGTAGCTCAGACATAACGATAATCACATTAGACATAAGGTGGTTTATTGCCTCGATCAGGGAGAAAAAACTTTTTTTTGTTATCGAAAAATCCCTCTCCGATTTATTTAACTTAATGATAATTACATCAAACATAAGGTTGTCTATTGCCTCGATATGGGAGAAAAACTTTTTTTTGTTTTTGGAAATGGTACTTACATCGAACATAAGGTGGTCTATTACCTTGATTTGGGAGAAAAACTTTTTTTTTGTTGTCGGAAAATCCCTCTTCGATTTATTTTAACTTTACTCTTAGGCAAGAACTTACTCATTTCCTTTTTACACCTTGCCTAGTCCGACATGGGGTTCATCTGAAGACACTTATTTTTTACGCATATACAGTAGATTGATGAATTCTTCGTGTGCATACACATGAAAAGAAATAAATACCTGAATATCATTGTTATAGATTCTTGACAAGGAATCATGGCAAAAAATTCTACCATTTTCTCCTTGATAATCCATTTCTTGATTTGGCAGTTGAGATCCAAAGAACAATGCATGACTATTAGCAGCTGCATCAAATATTGTGTTGTTGATATTTCCTTGAAGATAATTCACCATATTATGATCAAGAAATGCGCATGAAGGAGTACTCGTCACTCCTCGTATGTAAGGAGGGAGAGATGTCAACGATTCATCTTCGTATAATGAAGGCCCCATAAGATGATGATGAGACAGGGGAATAACAGAGCAATTTACGTCGAATGGCTCCTCTTGTTGTTGTAAAAAATGATGATCAGGAACAGTGAAATTCGCGGATGGGGTAAAGTCTATTGATGCTGAAATATCGTTATCAATCTCATCCTGTGTGTCAAATATCATCGACCTATTATTGTTAACATTACTCATAGCTGTTTTTGTGATCGTTTCATCATTTTTCTCGATTCTATTTAGATCGAAATTTGTTGTAGTGCTAGTACTATAAGAAGAATTATTTGAGGTAGAAGCAACATCTGAATTTTGTATTTCTGAAAAAAGTTCAGATTCACAAAAATTCAAAATTTGATCATTTATTGGGCTTGGCATCTCTTCCTACAAAAACAAAAACAAAAAAGCCATAGTCAAAATATATCACTTGTTATTAATAGCATCTTTATACTACTTTTTTCATAGAATAGAATCATGTCGTTACGTATGTTATCTAAAAACCATCTCTTTTCATGCACGAGACTCGACAGATGCCTAACACTTTAATGCATGTATATTATCTCTATTTCTTTATGTAATCTGCACGAGACTCGACAGATGTGTAACACTTGAATGTATATTATCTAAACCTATGCTCTCTTTCTTTATGTAATTTGCATGAGACTCGAGAGACACCTAATACTTTACAGTATGTTCACTTAAAAACTCTTTGTGGCATCTAAAATTGTACACAAAAAAAAATAAAAAGGACATGAATTCTGAGGATTATGTTAGTGAAAAAGAATCCTTTTGTAGCACTAAAAGGCTATGTTGATAAGCATGAGACTTTTGTCTATAGTTTTTAAGTTTCATAAAAGTCATTTTACAAGAACCTTAGACTAAAAAAACAAGAATCATTTTTCACATGGAGAACTTGAGTAATAAGCTTGAAAAGCAAAATATTCTTTGATTAAATGCAACCTAAGAAAATGAAAGGAATAATAATATGATCTAATTCAAGGTCTTGAAAGAAAAAAAAATCTAAGAGGAATAAAAAAATAATTCAATTCTCAAAACTCCATTTCTAGTAAAAACTTGAATCTTATCTATATAAATCTGTAATAATAATAATAATTAAATAAGAATTCAACATAACTTGTACATTAAAAAGTTGATGATGTTCTTGAGGATGAAGCATCATGTCTTGCATCATTGTTGTTTCTTGATTTAATTTTTCAAAATCTTGAAAATTTATATCATGCATAATATCAAAGGAGAAAATTTTATTAAAAAAAAAAGTGATTAAATTGATTTCACTTTTTTTGTTACCTTAATGAAACTCATGTTTGTAACCAATGGTAGAGAGAAATCCATGCAAGTAAAATAGGATTATTTTTTGGATTGAAAAAAACAAAGATAAGATATATATGAGATTATTTTGAAAATTTGGGATTATTATAATATGAAGATGGGGTGGGTTGGGGGTGGGTGGGTGGGTGGTGTTGGTCTAAGTGGAAATACAAAGGTATACATTTTAGTTATATGGATTGACCATATATACATTGAAAGTGAAACCTAGGTTGTTGGTGGGCCAGTCAATTTGTGGGATATCTCATGAAATTTTGACACGTGGAGGGAGCATTTCTATTTTAAGAGTTAATTACTTAGATATATTCTAGTTTGAAGTATTACGACTTCTATAAGATTTTGATACATCTAAATATGTTTAGAATGTTCAAATATATGTATAACGGGATACATGAGGTCAAAAATAGGTGCAGTTTGTTCTAGATACATTGTATCCAAATGATTCATATATTTAAAATATATAATAAATATCATTCGCTTCTTTTCTATCTTACTCGCCCCTCTCCAATGTATATGATATTTCATATACATACTAATCAGTCACATGTATGAGATATATAACAAATTTAGTTTGTATCCATTGCCATCTCGATTGCCTTTCTCCCTTTGTTAGTGCATATGATAGCAAAAATACATATATTTAGGTGTATCTTCTTCAAAATATGATAGAAAACTCTTAATTAATGGTAAAATACATAATATTTTAAAAATATAAATAATAATAGTAGTATATATAATAATGGAATATGATTAATTACGTAGTTTCTCCTTTAAAAATTAACGCCCTTACGATAGTGATGAGGTATATCACATATACTATTGAATTCTCGTATTTATTGTTTAGCCTAAAAATGAAGACATAATATATTAAAACAAATTGTATAAACATATATTTAAGTTTATCTCAGCTGAGAAGTAAACAATATTTCAATTTGAGGTATGCACATTTAGACACTTCAAGTTCGTCTTTAGTGTGTTAGCTTGAACACTTCAACTTACAAAAAGTCATAAGCTGAATACAATTTGTTACATCAACATCTAGTGTTCATGAGACACAATAACGATGAGTTAATATATTTCATTGTTAGCGATGATCAAGTTAAAAGTGTTTAAATAAAGCTTGGTGCCGAGAGTAGGTTTCGAGAACCCTCACACGAATTGAATGACTTCACTGGGTGCATGGAGACCACTGGGCCACCCGCCTCATTATGGTAGAGGATTCACAATAAATTTATTTGTACGTATTATTTGATATTTTAATACGTACGTAGGATTTACGAAAAAGTCAATGGATTTGTCCAAACACCCTTCAGCTTACCATAGCTCCACCCCTGAATTAAGGTACTTGAAAGTATATACAACGCAACATATTTATTAGATAGATATAAACATCGAATATGAATAAACTTTTACCATGAGACATTACCGTAAAGTTTCTTCATAAATGCCATATGTTCAATGAATATCAAATGCCTTTCTTTTTGGAACTCCTCAAAAATTGGGTGGCTGTTATTTTTTGAGTGCACATTAAATAAATTCGTTTTTGTGCGATAACTCATATTTCGTGATTCTAAAAGTCTAGCAAATACTTTGGAATAAAATACCTAGTCCTAACTAGGTGGCTTTGCATAAAAAATCACCTTTATATGTAGTACAAAATGGCAGACAAAACACCCCCAAGTTATAAGAACCAAGAAAATCATGTGTTATGAGGTACTATCAAAGGTTATTTTAATTTGAGTCTTTACCAAATCAAAATAACGCGTGGATTCAAAATTTAAATATTCTAGAGGTCGAAGAAGGAAGGAATTTCATCATAACCTATTTGATTTTCTATATTTGAAATCTATTTTCTGTACTTGATGAACTCTTTTAATACTTATACATAATTTGAGCCAAAACTGTCGAATTTGATTGAACTCATAATTTGTACACTAGATCCGCGTGCCATGCAAACAAGTCTAGATAGTCGTTTAAAATTACATCAAGGGTACGACATAGTGAGTATCATTTTAGATTGGAAACCATGAAGTCCGAGGTTTCAAACTTTAAATATCAGCGATGACAAAATTACTGTATGATCTCTTTCCATTTGCCTAATTAAGTATTGGTGGACATAGTTGCTCAACACTTATGACAGTAAGATATGTAACAAATATTCTGTAAAATTAGTCTAAATGCGTGAAATCTGCGTGAAAATACACCATACTTGTTTAGTCTAGGTTCACACACACATTGTCCTCATCGGCTTCTATTTACATGCACTTCATGATATTACCAAAAATAGCAAATACACCTTTCTAGAGACATTTGCTTTTAACTAATTATAGAAATATTCTAGCTCTTCCAATACTAGTTCTTGAATGAAGAATATATATGTGAGCAATATATAAAAGTGATACAATAAGAATCAAGACTAAGGTTGTACATGTTTGTTCTTTTAATTAGCATTATTGAGCTATATATATATATATATATATATATATATATATATATATATATATATATATTCTATGGCATTGATGAGATGGTTGTAAATTGTAAGCAAGGTTAATTTGTATGTGTTGTTTATGTCAAAGACTTTTAATTCATACATGGCTGCATCAAATGCCAACAATTGTGGAGATTGGCATCTTTGGGACTAACAAGACACTAATTTCTAAGATGAAATGACATTTTGATTCATTATTTATCAAGGTTTCTTGTTATTTTTTGCATAGGAAAGCCTAGATACTAGCTAGGCACTTCTATAAAGATTTTATCTTATGTCTGGTTAATTAAACTGGTCTGAAGATAATCTTAATATGGTGAGATATTTTATTTTATTGTTTTAGTCAAGTCTGTATGAAGAAGAGTTTGATAGAGGAGATTAGATATGACATGATTCACTTGTATCTAATCGAGGCATGACTCGAGATAAGAAGTTACATATATTGAGGATTCGGATAGAAGTGTAGTATGTAGCCATGTTGCATCGAGTTTCTCTTTTTTGTATTGTCATTAGTACTCTCGTATTATCTTATTCGCCGATTTTCGCATTACCATTTTTTCTTCTTCAGACCTTGATGGAGATAGGAGGTTGTGAAGATTGAGGATTAGGATAAAAGGATAATACGTACTTGTGTCGCATCTCATTTTCCTTTTCTCTATTATTATTAATATTTTATTATTATCTTTATAACCTTCGATTTTAATATTACCTGTTGTTTTCTTTTCTTCGATTATCATAATATTTGCCTTTTGGTACTGTTCTTTTCTCAAGGTAGTTTCTACTTGAAAATTTGTATCAATTGTATCTCTCTCCATCTTGATTTGATATGGTTTATTCGGGCCACTTTTCTATTTGAAACAATCTCTGTATCTTCGTAAAAACAAGATCTCCGAACTACATGTAAGGAGATAAGTTGACAAGTAGAGATAGTAGTTTGTTTGTTTCAAGTTATCGTTATGTTATTTTCATACTCATTTTGTAAATTATTAATTTTTGTCCGGTCACATTATTACGAAGAATATTTATCCTAACACCTTATATATATATATTTTTGAATAGTAAAAGTTTATTGTATCGAACAAATCTATTTTTACTTGGGTTCAGAATTCAATATTGGTCCTTTGCTTTTTCGAAGAGTGTAGATTCAAATACAATACTCAAAATATAATATCTTATGCTAATTAATTTGTCTCAATATGATATAGAGATAGGTAAACTTTTTTTTTTTTAATAAAAAAACTATTAAATTCGCTAGATACCATTTTTATTTGGGCAAATGACATAAATAACATACTTTTAGGGCTAAACGAACATTTGTCCCTTATAAGTTTCTAATGATCAAAATTCCTCAAAAAAAAACAAAAATACGGATACATAATAGGGCTGTACAATAAAAAAGTTGGCGGATACATTATATATTTTTGTCACATTTTTGAATCCGCCTCATTTTTTATCACATTTTGATATCCGCCTCATTTTTTTATCACATTTTTGTGTCCACCTCATTTTTTATCACATTTTTCTATCCGCGTCATTTTTACATTTTTGTATCCGCCTCATTTTTTGTTACATTTTTGTATCTGTCTCATTTTTTGTTACATTTTTGTATCCGCTTCATTTGATTTAAAAATGAGAAATTTTAGATATTTTTAAAACTAATAGGGGATAAAGGTAATAAGTGAAGTTAAGGGAGGGATTTTTGTTATTTTTCCTTTTTATTTTTATTTTTAAAATTCTTTTATGTAGAAATATTAATGTACATGATACTTAGCCAAATTAATATAGACAAAAGAACCTTTTCTTTTTCCCACTGTTGTAGCCTGTAGGGATGAAATTTGGCTGAACAAAATATAATGCATGCCTCTCACATCTTAAAAATTAATAAAATGCTAATTAAGCTATTGATTCTATTTAGTTTTAGAATTAGAATATTAGTACATTTTTATATCTTTGTTCCCTATGCCCCCCTTATATTGTAAAAGAAATAAAAAAAGGCCTCAAATGGACTTAACGAATTGAATCAAAGATGACCTTAGACACATACAAAGCCTTACATATTGTTTGATGTATCATTGACAATGATACACAATTAAGTGATCAGAGTTATAGTGGAGTAGTTGAGGTCCTTTTCTTTTCATTCATCGAACTTTCAGTAATAAAAGAAATTATGTTAAAAGCATTATCAAAGCCTTATATATTGTCTGATGTATCATTGATCAATAGGTAAACAATTAAATGATTAAAGTTATGGTGGAATAGTTGAGATCCCTCCCTTCTTAATCATCGAGCTTTAGTAATGAAAGAAATTATGTTAAAAGCATTATGAAATCTTAGTTATTGTCTAATGTATCATTGATCAACGAGAGACAATCAAACCATTAGAGTTATGGTGGAATAGTTGAGATTCCTCCCTCCTTAATCATCAAAATTTGT